TTAGAAAGGAAATTTATTAATATATCTCTTCAAACAAAGATAGAAATTTTGGATCGAATTAAAAATCAAGAGCGGATAGCTGATATTGGTAGGCATTTTAATTTAAATGAGTCAACTATTCGGTAGATTAAGCAATAGGAAGAAAAGATTAGGAAGTCAGTCGCATCTGGATCATCTATTCTTGCGAAAATTGTTGCTCATCCGAGAGCACCTATAATGAAAAAAAAAAAAAAATGGAACAAGTACTAATATTATGGGTAGAAGATATGAACAAGAAATGGTTGCCTTTAAATAAAAGTGCAGTTAAACACAAAGCCTTAAAAATATTTGATTATTTAAAACAAATGGGACAGTCATCAGCTGATGAAACCAGTGTTAAATTCGTGGCTAGCAATGGCTGGTTTGAAAAATTCAAAAAACGCCATTCAAACGTCAAGTTTTTCTCTGTTTAGAACCGAATCCCAATTTTTGTATTAAGTTGGTGTCTCCTATAACACGATTTCCCACAACGCGGTATTTTCAAGGAACGTATCTACCACGTTGTAGGAGGCTTACCTGTAAATAAAATTTGTCTGAATAATATAAATTTATTAATTTTTGCTGATAAGTAAGTTACAATTATTCTGATTTGTTAACTAAAATTGAAATATTTTGTTTAAACATTCCATTATCATGTTATTTTTACTGGTTTTTAAGATTTGGAACCAATCTTGCATTTTTTTTCTTTTTGTGTGAACAGTATCTTTTATATATGATTTTTTACATAGCACACATTACCGAAATTCTATGTAAAAACAGTATTGAGTACATATGATTTGTCCTCTCCAAAGAGAGCTTTTAAAGGACTAAATGCTTTACAGTTTTATAGAAATAAAGGAGAAATAACATGTAATTCTGTTCATTTTAAAATATTGTGTAGGCAAATTTATACACTTCAAACTTAAATTCTAATATTTTGATTCATTTGACTAAAGTAGCTTTTACTGTATATTTAACAACAACTCAACTTTAAAATTATTGTAATTTTTAATGTAATAAGATTATTTCTTATGGTTAACAGTTTAAAATATGCAATACAAAATTATAATCAGTCAATTCTGGTAAATAATAATGTTAATCTAAATACATAAAATTACTTGTCCTGACTGACTGACTCACTGATTCANTAAGATTATTTCTTATGGTTAACAGTTTAAAATATGCAATACAAAATTATAATCAGTCAATTCTGGTAAATAATAATGTTAATCTAAATACATAAAATTACTTGTCCTGACTGACTGACTCACTGATTCATCATCGCCCAGAGCAAACCACTGAACCTAAAGAGGTGAAATTTGGTACACAGTTAGGGTACATCATGAAAACACACTAAGCAGGGATTTTTTGAAATTTCCCTGTGGGGGAGAGGGAGAGCATTAAGGCTTAACCGGAAGAACGGCTTTTACTGTACTATTTTAGATGCGATTTTTTGTTTTTATGTTTAGTTTTCATTGAATACTTAGTGTATTAAATTGATAACATTTCAGACATTGTTATAAATATTTTCATATATTTTG